GAGTCGTCCTTTCTCCCCGAGTCTTCCTCTCAGAGTCGTCCCCTCTCTCCCCGAGTCATCTCGCTCTCTCAGAGTCGTCCTCTCTCTGTCGTTCTCTCTCCGAGAGCGAGCGAATTTCCGTGCTGTGCGGCGCCTTACAAGTTGAATCCAGCAATCAGCCGCACGTGGTTGAACCGGGTTCGCAAGTTTTACCGAAATAACGGCAAATCTCAACACCGGTCAGCAACGAGTGCACCAACAACCATCCGTCGCATTAACGATTTGTGCTTGCCACTTACTCCTGCGGCTAAACTCGTGATAACGGGAGGTCTTAAATTCAACGATCCCGCATGCAAATCCCATTGTGGGGGGCCGTTTTCTGCCCATCTGGGGTGGTGAGAACGATGCACCGGGAAGCTCCAAGGGTTTCCAAACAGGAGCGCACAACCTGGAATGACGGTGAACATTTAAGCAACAACGTTTTAATCGACTCCAATCACAACACAACGGGAGTTTACACAAAAAAATTCCTCCTTGCAGATGATGGCTCAAACCGCGGGCGATATGCGCCCGCCGCAATTACTAACACAGCAGCCTGCACTGTATATATTTTTACTCATTCGGCCGTAGCTGAAACTGGATAACGTTTAACTTGTTGGTAAATACTACCATTCATTCCTAAGCAACAAAGCAACCACCCGGATCCGTTTGACTTAGGTAAACAATGGAAACCAGGTAGACTAGACAAACACAATGGGTTTCCAATTACCCCGTTTTTAATTTAAATCAAAAACCGTCGTTTTTGTACAGGTATAAAAAGGGCTTTGGAAAATGTGTACACACATGTGCGTGCGTGCTGAACTTCATTCGCATCGTACGTAGCAAACCGTCCGAGCCGAGAGGTGCAGGGGAAGGACACCAGACCAAACAAACATCAAAAGAATGGATAGCATAATCCTCCTTCCAAAATACGATCACAAAGCCAGGACATATTTAAATGTACAGTATATATTTTCGTCTCCAATGCAGATGTGCGAGGGGGGGAGGAGTGGTGGCACAGTGGTTAACACGCCGCATTTAAAAAAATCAGCGGCAAACGGTATTTGAAGCAATTCTGCCCCCACCTGCACTGACCAGTGTGGTGAAGTATGGTCAAATATCCACGCCTGTTACCAGCACTTGGGGGAGGGGGGGGGGGGAGTGGGGCACTTCGACGATCGAATTGACAAAGAGGCCGTAAAAATGCACTTCAGGACGCAGCAAATGAGAATATATTTTTTTATTCTTAAAAGTGAAGAAATTTCTCATCATGGGTGGAAACCCAGCAAGAAAAGGTAACGACGATCGTGACAGCCTGAAAATCGCGTCAAGGCACAGCACACTCAACAGTCAACAATGTTATTCCACAACCGAGGCAGCACATTTAACTTACATCGTGTGCGCAGAGACTCGACTCCCGTAATAATAGTGCGAACAAGCGGGCCCCCCCCCTCCGCATTGTGCGCTCCGCGTTTCCAAGATTCTCATCATCGTTCCCGAGATGTGCCGGTCGCAAGTTAGAAACCATGGATCCAGTGTGACATCATCAACATCATCGTCGTCATCGTCGCAATGAGTACAACGAAAAGGCTCATCACGTTTGAAAAGCGGCACGTGTGTACTCTACGTATTATTATGCCCGGGCAAAGATTGTAGATCACATGACATGAGGTGCTCATCATGACTACACAGACACGCGCATATAAATAAACTGTACAGATTTCATTGCCGCACTGCCTCTTACAGCCTCTATTAAAAAAAAATCGTCCGAACGCGGCGCAACGCCTGCTTGCTACATACGTGTGGGGTAATGCACTTACACAGTTGACCGCAATCACAATTGAAATTGATCGTTAAAATCGAGTCCACATCCCACCGCCCTGATGGAGTAACCAAGAGTGTTGCCGACTGGCAAAAGAAATAGAAATCGGCTTAAACATTTCAAGAGAAAAATCTACAGCGGGGGGGGGGGGGGGGGGGTAGATGCTATGTTTTTTACTTTATCTGGGACTCACTCGTCTGACATATAAACTGGTGGCAAAGATTTCTACAGAGTAACAATAAACCCAGCCACGTGATGTGGGGCCACAGCAAATCACGGCGGCGATATTAACTGCCTCGCCTGGTATACAGGAGGTCGTGGGTTCAATCCCGACCCTGACGCTGCTGTATATTTGGGAGTTTGCGGTCTCTCCCCCCGCCCCCTCCCCTGTCGTCACGTGGATTTTTCTCCAAGCCCTCCGGTTTTCCCTCGACATTTAGAAACATGCGTTTATATTATTTGGCTGCTAATACATTTCCATGTGAAAGGCCACTTAGTTGAGCTATCATTTGTGGCCAGGTCGCTTCTGAAAAAGGGCCGTATAGCTCAGTGGGCCTTACCTGGTAAAATAAAATATATTTTAAATCAGCTTTCGCTTGACACTTTCACGGGGAACCTTTGCAATGGGGTCCCAGAAGCCGTATTTTTGCACGAAAACTCGCTCGATCACACGGAGGTTGCCGAACTAGATTTGGGCTGCAAATGAATTTGAAAAAGTATAACGATCAATGGCAAAAAAAAACCGAGCAATATCTGGTTACCAGTTAAACAAGGAAGGCTTCATTAAACGGCAGACAAAGTGTGCAGGGTTGCTTCTCTTGACTGTCACTGGCGTACCCAAGTGTCTGCAAAGGCGTACTGATGAACGCGGACGGTACCATGCCGCCCCCTTGTGGACACGCATCTGCGGTGTGTAGAACCCTTTTCGCACCGTACATGGCCAACCGTGCTCATCGGAGGCGCGATCTTTCACCAGCCCCCCGCCCCACTCTCGTCGTTACCCTCACACACTGCCGCGGAATCCCTCCGACCTTTTGTGTGCGAGGAATCGACAAAAAGCGAGGGGGGCCCGCCGTTGCGTTCGCCGCGCACACCACGACGAGAAGTGGCAAGCGGCTCACAGAGCGGCACCCCCACCCGTCAGCCCAAGAAAGCCATGTAAACCCAAGACTGCACCTTAACCCCCTACACACCTAAGGTTTTTCCTTGATATTAGCAGGTCTCGCACGGAGCTGATTGAAAGCGATCGCCGTGTGTTCACAGCGAGCCCGTGCCCAGAAAGTCAATCAATCAATCACCCGTCGTGTCCGTCCTGGAAAATAAAGTGCACTGCAGCTAACGAGACTTTTGGAAAGCGACATCGGGACAGCAACTATTGTCCCGTAGTCAATGTGGCCGACCGTTTGACTTTGTATTTTTAAAACGAATAACGACATTAACGAGTCGGTGTTAATTTGTCCGAGCATGACACAATCTTAAATATGATTAGGCTTTGTCGCAGCAAACTAATACAACACCATTTAAGCAATTAAGAGAAAGTTCTAGTAATGGATAACGTCATTATCTGTTGATGTAACACAACTTTACATTTCCTCTGGCAAATCTTGCTGATTCTTCGAGTGTACATATATATGAAATGTATTAACTGGAACGTTACTTTTTTAATCAATCGTCTGTAATCGTGTGCAGACACTTCTGAAATAAGTCCTGTGGTGGTGACAACATAAACCGCATCACGCCAAGGCATAAAGTAGGCCCAAACCACCGATGTTAGTTGCTCTGAAACAACTGACGAATCAGATGAAACAACGAGCCCGTGCATTAACGTAGCAGCCTTCACACGCCACCGCTGTCCGTTACCTCCGTAAAGTAAAACAGAGAAACGTGTTCAAGATATGAGGCAATACCAAAGCTCGCATGCCACGGCCCACTTTTGCAAAATTAACATTCCAATTTAATTTTACAGTTCAATGCTTTTGTTAGTGGGGTGTATAGAGTTCCATTGCATTAGCAAGCAGGGATTGAAAAAAACATGCAACAAACATTTCCTGACAAACTAAATAACATGGCCTTCCCACTGTATATGAAGCAAGGCTAGTTATGCATCGAGGCCAAATTATAATAGTGATCAACCATCGACAAAACGAAACTGTGGTTTAGTTTACAGTTTGCATGGTTTAGTAGACATCGCATATTTTAAGGTCAACCAAATCTTTACAACGCAATTTGGATTTACATAGTCGCATTTAAATGCGACCACATTCTCACGAGGCCGTAGAGAAACAGTGGGAACGTTAATTTGAAAGAGTATATAGAGGCGGTCTTAAACCTGAACTTTAACAGGAGCATGGAGCTCTTTAATGAGCTGCGAAGAGCTGGTGTGTACCACTTGCACCCACAGCGGTGGCAAACACTCTGGGAACCCCGTTTTATTTCGAGCGGGCAATGATGGGCACAGGTGGTGGCACAACTATCTCCTGTGCAGACGATGCAACTGCAACAGGGCACACGTGGCCAAGGAGGCCACGTGTAGACCGTTGCCCTTCTATAAAGGGCATAGGCTCCCAGCTAAAAAAAACCTTAAAGTCACTCTTTAGCTTATGAAGATTGGTTGCAAGTAAACCGACACTGTACCGACAATGTAATTTCTCACACTTGGTCAAAGGGCGCAACACAATTATCTTACAAAGCGACCGATTGGCCCGAGTTTTTCATGAACCCTGCTACACTTTGCACTTCACAACCTTGTCAGCTCCTCCTGCTACGAATTTGTTAAAGTTTACACATCGACCCAAAACAATTACTTTGCGAACAAAAGTAAATTTTTACATGTGGGCTTTCGCGACCAATATCATCCATAATAGTGGTTTTTGGGTTAGATCGCATAAATATCTAAATGTGTCGTTAAACCCGCCACCACCCGACATAGCCAACTAGTAAGGGTTGTCACGTAAACAGAACGTGGCCAATTCGTCACTAGTACAGCACTCCGGTGTGTTGGAGAGCCAACACACCTGTGTGCTGTACTAGTGACGAATTGGCATCTTGTGTTTACGTGAAAACCCTTACTAGTTGGCTGTGTCGGGTGGTGGCGGGGTTTAACGACACATTTATATATTGACGCGATCTAACTCAAAAACCTCTATTATGTAAATAAAAGTAAAAATTCGAAATCCGTTTAATCAACAACACTGACCCCACAATCCTTCCACAATACTGTGAAAACGCCTCAAAAAGCAAAAAAAAAACCCTGAATAACAGCCCTAACGCACAAGACCAACTCAACACATCAAAGAGGAAACAGGTTATAGCAGCTGTTTATGTTTGACCCTGAGAATGATCATTACTCCCGTCACCTGTTCCTCATCCTGCAGACCATTGTACCCACGCCACCCACTGACCTGGCCTGCCTATCGACTGAGTCGCTCACGTCACGACGCTGGAGGCACGACCAGAGTCAATGGGCCGTATAATATGGGCAGGGTGATACAAGTCTGTAAAACACCCAACCAACCAACCAACACCAGGTGGGGCAGAGGTGGGCAAATGCATTCAAATAACAATTTCTCAGAGGAAATGTAACTACCGTGGAGATAACTTTAGAGGTGTCCAATGTGGACATTAATTACACATGTGTGAAATAAAATAACTGCAAATGATTTAGATACTGCCGATATTTTCCTTGAGGTAACCACCATTAATGTAAGTGAATTACCAACGTTAATATTAATGGGAATAAGCAGGCGTCCTTATAGATCACAATTGGGCTACATCACGCTGCATATAATTACGCGTTGCATGTCGTCGTTGTGATCCAACTGTGAACGTGTAAAAAATAGGTGAAAATGTAATTACAATCAAATGATTGTTTGACCGTCATGTTAAGAACACAACATTCTCTATGGCAGAGTGGGTGTAGGAAAGTGCAGCCCCTCCCCAACCCCTACTAGCCTAGAGGTGACGTGAACAAGGGAATGTCGGGATGTAGTTTTGTGATATCCACTTCCATGAGCTGTCCTCTCACGTGAACGGGTTGTGCAAAGCTCTGCATGACATCCGATATAGACAGTCTTGTGACATGAGAGAGCTATAGCACGAGCAGAACAATATTTTTGTGTTTAGTTTGTTGTCAATCCCCACCCCCCACACCTCCGATTAGCAATGGTTGGAGACGTACGGTGCGGAAGAAGTTCAACATACATATGTAAATGAATACAAGAGAAAAAATATTTTTTTGGATGAAAAAAAAGGAATTGACAGAGGGGGGGGGGGGTTGAAAGTAATGCAATTTACACGATTAGTAACCGTGCTTTGTCAGTGTCCCTTATCACCGGTCTCAAAGTATTGAAAATTCTATCATCATTGAGATCAGTTAATCGTTAACACTGGCTAAGCGGGCGGACGCATTTAAAAACTCGGGCATTCTGTAAACATGCACAAAACTGTGCTTTTCGTGTGAAGGCTTGTGTTAGGAGACCACGGGGGTTGTTCTTGCGAAGCAACTATGAACTTTGCGCGTAGGACTCAGGTTAAATTCGCGGCGGCATTGCAACGAACTGCAGCCACTCGAGCGTCGGATTTTCTGCTCACCGTTGCCACTTCAGAGACCGACAGACGGTCCAAGCCCGCAATATTTCGAGTGACATTTGGCACCTTTCTCACACGTTTACCAAAATGTTCACACTTTCCCCGACACCTGTTCCTTGCACCCCTCGGGACACGAGTGGCTGAAAAAAAGAATAATCTAATTTCATCTGCAGTAAATAATTTACCGCACTTTTAATCTTTCAAAACCATGCATTTCCTGAGGGCACTTATGCGGCGTGTAAATTTGTGTGCTCGCAATTGTGTGTAATGTCAATTTTATCACGACTCCCAATCAGCCACCATAGTAGCAAGTTGGGCAGCCACCAGAAAATGACACCCCACCCACCTTATCACAGTGCGGGGTCTCTCGCTCTCCTCTTGGTGTCAACCAGTTAACCCTGTAGGTCTCTTTGAAGTAACCAAAAGCACTGTCATTTCGCCCTCCCCTCCATATCTTTCCATAGGCACCTTCTATAAAAATAAGCAAAAAAAAAGGCCTTTTCAGACAAGAAAAACGTCATAAAACGCCAAGCGGCTCGTAAAACTGCAGGCCGCACCGCAAGCTGCCGGAAACGCCGTCGCTCGCGCTCGCGGAAGAATTTACAGAAGCACCACGCGTTTGTTGCATTCGCCAGCACTTACACCTGCTTGTCCGTTTTGGCAACACCGCAGCTACCGTCAAGCACGTGGCAAGCGGAGGGAGGAGCGGGGGACTTCCGCCGTCTCCTTTGCTATGCGTCGACCACCCACCCCATGCCCCCCTCCCCACACCCGGTTGTGAATGAGCGAGGCTGCTGCTTTGTCTTGCATCAGAGCAGGCTTCTGTCCTCCTGTGCCAGTTCCCAGGCATAAATCTGCACTACAAGGTTATTATTTTTTCACCTGCTTCAGTTTTTGTTGAGGGTCTGTGTAAAGTCAACATTTTTTTTCCCTCCCAACCAAAAGGCGATGAGGAAATGAGTGGTCTGCCTCGAGGAATATTAGCAGATTACAATGCCCTGCTTAAATAGGCCTGTCTTGATTTTTTTTAAAACCTTATTTGCAATAACAAAATATTGGAAGAGAATTATACCTACGCTAATGGCCATGAAGCATATAACTTGGCACAGAATTAAAGTGGTCAAACTGGAATTACAGGATGGTTAAGGTAACTTGTGATGTACAGTAAATGAAAAAGATCAAACATATTCGTATAGTTACATCAAACATGTCTAGTATTAATAATACTTGGGGAAACTTTTATAAAAAAATTAGAAAATAAAGTCACAGTACCATGGAAGGGCTGAAAAGAATTTACGCAGAATTTGTTTTGCAAGCTGCAAATTAGCGCGACGCCGATGCAACTCTTTCTCACGGAGTGGCTACAACTTCTGCGAAACTACTTGTGCCACTTTGCGGGAGAGCTCCGCTCCCTTTACGGGCGATTGAAGATGACGCCCTTGATGTACTGGATGAGGTCCGCGCGGGAGAGCATGCTCACGTGTTCCGCGCCGGGCAGCTCTCTCAGCAGGACGGGCTGTGGCTGGCGGCCGGCCCACTCCCGGCAGAGCAGCGCGCTGGCCAAGCTCACCGTGCCGTCGCCGTCCGCCGTGATGACGCGCGTTGGGTCGTGGTCCGGGAACGACTTGTCGTACACGAACGAGTCCGGGGTGGCCACGCCCGTGCCATAGAGGCAGTGCACCGGCACGCCTGCGCACAATCGAGCGGTGCGGGGCAAACCGCCGCAAGGACGCACGTGCACACAAAGACAAAGATCCCCAGTATAGGCTTAACAGACTGTTGGGGCAAGTGCTGTTAGCGAACACCTATGAAGGACGGCACGGCACACGAGGGGGTGGGTGGCCGGTATCACGCCCGGCCGGCTTTGTCTCCCGAGTGGCGATGTTTACACACCGCACCCAGGTACTTATTTGGGGCTCAGTTGACCTAGGAGAGGCCCGGGACCGGTTCAGATAATCTTCACTGTGTTGGTGGGTGAGCGGGGAACGAACCCAGGTTGTCGGGTTCATAGCGCAGAGCGCTAACCGCACACACACGGGATGGGATAACACACACACACACGGAAGGGAATGTGTTATTTTAATTCAGGTCATTATCACCGGCTTCGTTATTTTCTGAGCGGCCCCACATCCTTCATGAATGGAAAATTAAAGACGAGTCAGAGCGTGCAATTGTGGCCACGCAACCCAAACTATGGACCGTACGGTAAACCACGTCTTCACTCCTTCAATGGCAGAGGACGAGCGAAACTACACAAGCTCTCTCCTGACGCCCTCTCGTGGCTTGCCTGGATAGTGCTTGGATGGATGACCAATGTGCACTGCAGGTTGTTATAGGCTGCTGTGGTGCTACATCGTGGGTAGCACAGGGCAGCCATGATCCACTGCTGGACTGTATTTATATGACCAATAGTGTGGAGCAGACTTGTTCAGCGGCGGATTGATAGAATTCTGCAAGTTAATTGTTCGTTAATAATCAATATTCTTCATTGAATTGATGAATCGTTACACACCCCTGCTTTCTATAGTCTCAAGGTAAATCTTAAAAAAATATATATCAGAACTTAAACAAGAGGGGAATTTATTTATATATTAGTTTGGTAAAGTATATGCCTGAAACAGGATAAATAAAGATTCTGATTCTTAATAATAATCATAATTTCAGTTTTATATAACGTCATTTATGCAATTGCATCACACAACGCTGTACAATATATACATGAAATTAAGGGCTAAATACAAGTTATAGCAATTATTAAGTAAATACCAATTTACATTGTTAATCTACTGCTAGAAGAAGAGGCCTCTCGATTCTGTGCCAGCCACGGGGTTGCTTTTGACAGCAATGGGTGAAGCTGCCACCTTGCCAACGATGTTAGCTGCGGTTGGAAACTGAACTTGGGGTCACTGCGCACAGTGTGCTGGGCTCATGGTGCAATAGGAGTTAGTTTAACATTTTTCAAACAAATAAATAAGTATAACATCAACCCCGCACCGCGGACATCACGGGATGTTGTGTCCGTACGAATGCGCAACTCGCAGTGACGGAGAGTTCCCTCTCCGGAGACGAAGACCGCAGGCGGTGACACGACACGCGGCTGAGGGGGTAACCGCGTTTGCCGCTCGTTGCAGAGACTCGCCGTTCAAGTCCAAAGGCCATCGAGGTTAATACTCCCGGCTGTGTAACCCGTGTAAAGAAAAAGGGAGCACACTATTCGCTTCATGCCGGGACGTAAAAAAATCTTGTGAGATTCACCCAACGTTCCTGCTGTGGGTTTTTGTTCATGTGTAGAGCAAAAAAAAATCTAATGATAATTAAAAAACAAATCTTGTCAGATTCTTTTGGGAAAAAAAGGTCACAACACGTGCCGGCAACGTCTGCCAAATTTGAAAACTTAGTCGAAAATTGACTTGGCAACCGCCGCCTCCTTTCGCGCAAAACTTAGCAGGACCCTCTTATAACAAAAGCGTCTTGAGATTTGGGAGGCTTTCCTGGGTAAACAAACGCTGTAATCATATCAGTTCTGATAAATCTCCCTCCCATCTCCTCACCTGGCAGGGGCTGCCCGTACAAGTACGACTCCGTGTCCTGGCGCATCAGCCATCCCTCGGGGTAGCCGATGTCGTTGTAGAAGTCGCGGTAGTCACGGTTGGTGTAGTTGCGCTTGGGCGTGGACACCAGCACTTTGTCGGGAGGCCACGAGGTGTTGTAGGGCAGCAGCCAGCTGGTGGACACAGCCGTTCGCTGCTGAGCGCGGATCTTGAGCGTGCTGATCACAGGGATGCCGTTATTGTCTCCTGTTTGTGCGCGACAAAGACGAAGGTTCAGTGTTTACGATGCGAAACTCGGGTCTTGTACCGCGCCGTTAAGTTTTGGATGCCAGTTTAACCAAGCGTGGGTGGGTGCAGCCTGTACGTCAAGTCACGCTTTATACAGGTGCCGCAATAAATGTACTGCTCGAGGCAGTTTTTTACGGGTACACTCGTGTGCTTCGTTTACACGCGCCATGGGGTAGGGCAGTGTGGCATCTAAGGATTTACAAAACCAGACCCTCCACACAAGGCCCTTTAATTGTTTGCTCATGAGACCACTCACAAAAGGGCCTCCCTACGAGAGGGCGCTCCAGACAGCTCCCTCGAGGGCATTTTGGCCTACTCTTCCTTGGGAGAAGTGGGATTACCCCACACTTACACCCATCATACGCCACCTTCCAACTGATTAAATGTGGCATACCCATTCGTATTGATGGATGGAAAGAAGCGGCGGTGGCGGGGTGATTTAAGTAACTAACTGATTGATTCAACCGTCACGCTGGGAGATCGAACCGGCAACCTCTGCACCGCAAGTGCAGTGTGCTGCAAACCATTACCACCGATTAGCACGGTTGGCTACGTACGGCGCAAAAGAAGTTCAACAAACATACATGCTTTATACAATGGCAGCATCCTCCAGATCGCCCACACATCAACTAAAAACACCAAAACCTGAGATAAGCAAATGGGTCCCATCGCCCACTCCAAGGGGGTTCGAGCGGGGAGTCGTGGGGGCAGCGGTCACACACCGGACGTGAGCACACGTAGCGTCTTGGCGGCACCGCCCCAGGGTGGCCCCAGTGCTACGAAGCTGTGGATGAACTTGTCCTTCCACGCCTGGCTCTGCTGTCCGAGGAAGTAGCGCATGTAAGGGTTGCCCATGCTGTGAGCCACCAGGACGACAGGTGACCAGTAGGTGGCATACATCTCCTCGATCATGTTCTTCAGATTCGTCAAGTACTCCCCGTTCTCATCTGCGACACCGGACGACGCGGATAGGGTGGCGGACGCAAGGGAACGGGTGCCGTTGTTATTGCTATAAGATAAAAGTGGATTGATCAGTATGGCGGTGAGCAAACTGTACCGTTAACCCGAGACCTGAGTTTTACTCCGTGCCACATGTAATAATATCAGTTGTGAGTCAGATCCAAACTAATTCGCTGGGTCCTCCTCCCTTCGTCAACGGTTAAGGTCGCATAAACCCTTACCGTGACCGACACAGAATTTTGGAGGTCTACTTGCAGCAACAATTTTCCAAAAGGTTCTATAATTTACTTATTTATTATGTAGTACGTACTTAATGCCGCAGTGACAGCTACAACATTGCTGAAAAAAATACTAGAAAGCCTTGTTACTCACGAATGAAGCTTGAAATTAGTTTTGGACGACCCGGAACATAGCCCTCACACCTATCTACATGACGACAGATGGCTATTTTTTGGGCCGTACCATCATTTAAACTCCATCATGCACGAGACTTGACTTTCCCCCCCCCCCCCCCCCCCCCCCGTTGCAATGGACTCCACAAGCAACACCTGCGATGATTAGCACGGGTGGCTCATGTACGGTGTGAAAGAAGTCTCGACATACATACGTAAAGAACTACAGTACACGTAAGTTCAAACAAGGATTTCAGGCCGCAGCATCTGCACAGAAAAAAATGTGACGACTCCGTTCATTATGAAGGGGGGGGGGGGGGGCGGGATGAGTGGGCGCCACTCACTGGGGGCTTTTCTCCAGTCATAGGGGGCCCCGCGAATGTCCTGGTTTCTCTTGTAGCCCCATCCCTCCATGGCTTCCACCAGCGTGTGGAAGTAACTTCCTGTGAGGCGACAGCATAGAGCACGCGCGCTTAGCATCCACTCGAATGACGTCGACACCGGAGATTGTCTCTCCGATTGGTTAGGTAATAGATTAAACTCTTAAGGGTAAATGGATCGATTAGCGTAACTAATCGGACAGAGCGAAAATTATTCTCACCCCTTATTCCCACGTGTGCCGTTGTTACGGGGCTTGGTGATGTCATCGGCATCATCAGCCTTATCACGGTGGGCTTGGCTTGTAGGGGGGCTGGGTTTCCTGCCTTCATGAGGCAAGGTTGTAGCGTCAATTGGCATGTATTTTTTATTTCATTAAAGAGGAATGAGATACATTTTTCATAAAACCTTTTTAGCATAAATGCAAATTATTTGTGACCAGCAGGCATGTGTACCAAGTTACATGGGATCCACCAATGCATCGATGAATTTCCAAAATTGGGAATCACAACTCGATTGAAGAATCAATGTATTTTTCTCGTTTTTATCGTCTGATCTGTAATATTCTTCAACGTCTCTCATTCGTAGTTTTTTTTCGCTGCCATTGATATAAATGATCATATTAGCATAGCGTTTACACATAATTTAGATGACTTATTAAATTACATATTCCTACACGCAAGATTCCATGCGTGCATGAACATAAGCATCTATCGCAATATAACCTAAGCACTGTTACACGCCTACCTGGGATGAAACCCAAGTATGGACATCGTAAACTCCTTCAAGATTTCCACCATTCCCCTCCCCTTGTGCAACCAGGGCCAGTACTGTGGGTTTTCCATCAAGCAGCTGAGATGAAGTGGGTGCCGACCCCCAATCATCACACACTCCCCTTTACCTGAAGAGCTTTCATTTTGGAATTGCAGTATAGCGGTTGGACCACTAAGACCCCCCCCCCCATTCACCAACCCGAACTGACCATTGTGGTGAAGTATGGTCAAACAACCCTGATGACCTACGCCACTTGAGGACATTTTCACCGGTGACGAAAGGCTGCGTGTGTGTAGTATAGTGCATGCGCAAGCTTATTTTAGTTTACAAATATGCATACGAATATTTCTGAGCTTGTTTTTGCTGACAAAGGCATTTTCATTCCATCAAAACGTGTGTTGTTCTCCTGCCTCTACGAGACGACACTCTAAAAATACTCGAGGCAAATGTTTCCTCAACCGCCCCCCCCCCAACAACAAAGGAACGTTGTATGATAGAGCAAGACGAACGTTACGAGGCATGCGGCAGAAAGCCAGAAATCGCTGACCCAGCAAATAGAATTTTGTACATGTACACTCTGCCGATTAACACAACACAATTTCACACAGGAACCCACAAACCGCCTGACCGAGCATCCAGAAACGGTTGTTTATACTTCACCGAAAAATTATTATCATGAGATTAAAGCGAGTTAAAGCATTCAGACGTATGCTTACCAACGGACACATTGCTGGGATCCAGGAATTCCACCGGGAATGTTTTTCCAAAGTCGGGAACTCGCACTTGGACCCCGTTGGGGCTGGATGTGGCGCGAGTGGTCAGGTTATACTCCAGCCTGCACCGGGTAGCAACACACCCAGGCAGTGAGTAGCCACACATACAAGCCGGAGCACTCAATTGGCACGACTGACATCCTGGTTTCAAATACTGGCAGCCGACTGTGATTGAACCTGGGTTCTCAAGTGTAGGGAGTTCTCAGCCTTGTTGCCAATGACTGTATATATAACAAAAAACACCACATCAGATTCGGTTTTGCACTTATTTTAGCTCAGTTCTAGCTCCTGATCATGAAAAATATTTGGTTTTACTACCCTTCCAAGAACAGTTCTCTCATATGGCAAAGCGGATGGGGATGTTCTGACAGCTTCTATTGGCAGCAGAGATCGCTTAAAGGGAAGTGACACTGCGATATTCACTTCAATTGGCTTTATATAACACTCAGGCGTTGCAACTGCTTTGCGAGATATCAGAGTGAATTCTTAAAACTCATGACGCGACTCGGATAGCACATTTGGGGGGAAAAACTGGGGAAAAATACAAATTATCAAGTAGCCGTACATAACAAGTCACATCGGTTCAAGGTTCCTCCTTGCAATGTCTCAACCGCCACGATAAACCCAAACTTTCAAAAAATATAATGACTTGGACAAATTCTGAAATTGCGACGTTTACAACCTGGCAGATAAGTCACGTAACACATGCCCCATGTTATAAAAGCAGGTGCGCATCGTTAAAAAAAAAATAATCAGTATGCCAAGACATCCCATTAACACTCATGTTCATCGTAAAATATAGTCTTACATTTTATTGCATTGTGTTCAACTGCTTTGTTGTTAACAGATTACACGGGCTAACACGTAGGCTTTCGCGACCAATATTATTCATAATAAAGGTTTTTGGGTTAGATCGCGATGATGCTGGATTTAATTACTAGCGAAACGTGGTACTCAAAAATTGTAAATGCTGTGGATTCGCTGGTAATTACATCCAGCATCATCGGGAAATTCTGGCGAATCGCAATTCTGGCGAATTGCCCGATGATGCTGGATGTAATTACAAGCGAAATGTCGTACTCAAAAGTGGATTCACTCTTCAACACACCGGTGGGCTAAAGTAATGAACTATTTGTCTTTTGTCAACGTGACACATTTTTACTGTTTGGCCGTGTTGGGTGGTGTAAGGTTACAACACATTTATAAATAACGCGATCTAACCCAAAAACCTTTTATTATGAATATAGGGATAAATTGGTTTAGTTGGGCACACACTCTTGTTTATATTTTCATAAGATTTCTTTGGAAATAAGTTTCAAGCATCGACAGCACTTAAAACGGGAACATTCATTCACATTCATTACCCCCCCCCCCATAAAAAATGCAGTCAAACCGGACCTATTAACAAAGGCAAGAACAAAAACGTGCTAAGCCAAAAACATCAGGCCTCTTATCTCTTTTGGAAACCCCCCCTCCCAAAAAAATATATATCAGCGCTTTTTGTTCGAAAGCATCAGAAGCAGAAGTGGACAGATAAACACTAAGTTGCAACAAGCAAAGGAATGAAAAATAATAATAGGTTTTACCCTTTCTGGAAATAAAGCAGGTGTTAGATGTCCAAAAATAGAAACCTTTTGCAAGCAATTAAGTCCTGCACATACTTGTCGAGAACACGCAAACAAACTGTGATAATACAGTAAAACCTTGGATGGCGAGTAACTTGGTCTCTGCGAGTGTTTTGCAAGACGAGCAAAAATGTAAAATAAATATGAATTTGATAAACGAGCGAGAGTCTTGCAACACGAGTAGTACGTACGCGCTTTGTACTGCCGAGCGTCACGTGATCACAACTGATACACAACGAGTGCTTTGATATACGAGTGCTTTGGATCACAAACAAGGTTTTACTGTGTATGCATTGCCCTTGAAACGGATTTGCCTACGCCAGAAACAGTCTTCTTAATGGCCTAGTCTCACCAGTGTCAGACCACAGAACGACACCAAAAGGAAACTATCCAAATATTCCACTTTTTTTAAATCAGAAAAGAAGCAATCATATCATATGCCACGGCCAAGGGAGGCCCTTCTCCCAGTTGTATTTTCACTTGATGTATAGCTGCTCACCCCGAGCTATAAATCCTCTAATACGTGCACTGTCTTTGTACAGTTCGTCTTTTGGCGTTCTCTGGTCTGGCACTGGTGAGACTAGGCCATCAAGAAGGCCGTCTCTAGCGTAGGCAAATCAGTTTAAAAGACAATGCCCATATATTATCAGCGTTTGTTTGCATGTTCACCACAGGCAAAAGAAGTGAAAAGCCCACTTCGGTAAAAACACGTGTTATGAACTTCAACATCAAATCGTGCTCAGTAACACACTGCTGTCACAACCAGCATCACCGTAAACTAGTCACGTAGGCTTGTTTAATAGTTCTCAAAGAATGTCACAACGAAACAGAAGCATAAGATCGTTCTTAGTTCGCGAATACACACTTAGGTCATGTTGAAGGCATGTGAAGATATGTCATAGATGGGAAAAAATGATTTAAAAGTTATATTCAGGCATGCTGCAATGGCAGTTTAGTTACGCCACCGTGGCAACGAATTAAAAGGTACACTAGCCACACAGCTAAAAAAGTCGCTAGTGCTCTGGTGGCACACTTGAAATTCAATTTAAGGTCTTCTTATTATTGATGATTCAAAATCATGTTGGACAGTGTAGGACAAGCAGCATAGATAATACGAATCTCCAATGCCTACTTTTTTGTCTGGGGCTGCATTTCCAGTAAAAAAACTAAAACGTTACGAAATGTCACCGGCGTTTTGTCATTTGGTTATTTCCCGGCTGACGTGGTAGGGATACGTAAAGGAATATCCTGTTTCTCAATTGCCTTGCATTATTGTAAGCAAACGTGGACCACAATATCTTGGGCAACAAGGCTAAACTTCACACATATCGCTATTTATTGGCTAGCCTAGTGGTGACAGACTTAAGGTCCTTTAAAGTCGACTATATGAATAGGCTAATCGCGAAAGATGCCATGGATGAAATTTCACAAATGTTAAATTTAACTCAATTTCTTTTTTATAGATAAATATCTTTCCATAAGACAGAAAAAAAACATTATAAGATTGTCATGTGCATCAGACTATTCTGTCTATTCATCAGCATTCATTCTTATGACCAAATCAGACTGAACAGCTCCAATTATATACAATCTCAGCAGCTAAAGAAAATTGTATCTGGCTCGTACATGAATAGGCGACCGCTTGGAAATACCAAGTATTGTAGGATTTGGCTGCGCGGTGGGACCAGGAAATTGCAGGAAAGCAATGGATTCTTGAATCTATCTGTGAGGTTTAGGCGTTATTCCCACATATGCGTACTCCCGCACACCAAACACTCGATTAATTAACTCGATTAATTAACTCGATTAATTAACCAAATTGGTCAAATGTCCCAGTGCGGGACCCTCCTGAAACGACGCTTTGACTTTCAGTAAGCCTCTCCTGGTCAAATAAAGGCCATTTTATTTGTATTATTTAAAATTCACCACTAAAATCTTGAGGAGATTTGATTCCTCATATCATTCGACTCTTCCCCACTTCCCAAACCGGCCTTAGATTCAGACTCGGATGCCCTGCAGATAGCGAATGTAGCAGGCTGAATGAAATTATCTTAATATTTACATTCCTACAGTTTCTCTCCCCCTGTCTACCCCCCCCCCCCAACACGATTAAAACAATTCTGTAACATCTCACCTAGTGGCAGACATTAGTATTATTTGTTACGCGAGCAAACACAAACTCGGTGGCGTTTTCGGTGGTTCAGTATATGATTTTATTCCAATGTTACAAGAAATATATTTTATATATCAGAAAAGATTCACTGATGGAAGTGCGACATATCGGCCCTCTGGGTACCGCATGTTGTCGATCCAGCAGTCGATCACCAGCGGGACGAGGAGCTCAAGGTTGAGCCACAGCGTGAAGTAGTAGTCGGTCTTTTTTGTGCACAGGTAGTGGACGACGGCAGGCTTATCCAGACGAGCCTCCAGCTGATTTCCCAGGTCACCTGGAACTGAAGACAGAGTGGGGGGGTGAGATGGGCAGGGTGTTGCAGTTGGTGGACGGCGCAGTTGTCTCTTACACCAATGGACTATCAAGAATAACCCACAGGGGCGACTGCGGCCACCAATCTCAAACCGTGGACCACGTCGTGAACAATATTCCACCTCTAGATTTAAAGCTTTCGTGACTGCTAGGATCCATACTCTTTGGTTCTATTGGGTAAAGTCACGTAGGTGAAAATAAAATAACAAAAAATCACGACGTTTCGGCCACAACACAAGCGGCCTTCATCAGGTGAAGGGACGAGACTGTCTGCGCTGTCCTCCAGACAGTCTCGTCCCTTCACCTGATGAAGGCTGCTTGTGTTGTGGCCGAAACGTTGTGATTTTTTGTTATTTTATTTTCACCTACGTGACTTTACCCAATAGAACCAAAGAGTATAATATTCCACCTCACAAAAAGTCAATGGAAAATGATCCAATTGGAATATACAAAGTAATTATCATCCCAAATACAAAAGCTTGGCAAGACCCTCCGGAAAAAAGAGTCACGAGACTCTGTGAGGCTTTCCTGGATAAACAAGCGTAATTACATTCAATTGTTCGCTGGCAGCATTTCCCATATTCATGGGTTTACACCTGCAGCTATCCACAGACTCGCCAACCTCAATACAAACATACAATTGTAGCGGATCCATTGCCCCCACTGCACAAAACAAGTGGGAAAGAACACAAGCTGTGAGCATTTAACAGTCAACAGGTTGCACAATCAATTGAATCCCCACATCTTGGGCTGGGCACAATGAAAAATTGGTCACCATGGATATGTTTAAATCGCCTTCGGATGGGAGCCGGTAGGGCACGAGTCAACATGCGGAAGTGGGGGCTTACTCTTAACGACAGTGAACCATGTGACTGTGGTGAAACTCAGAGAGCATGGAGCATGTCTTGGACCATCAGCACCTCCAGGAGTTGTGCGCTACGGAGGACCTCTCAACAGGGGCTACAGACCGGGCCACGGCATCGTCACATGCCCGATACTGGATGAACATATGACTTGCGGTGCAGCAGGACAAGAGAAGAGGAAGAAGACGTGGCAGATCTGCCAACCCACCTTCATGAGTGGAAATTCACATAGAGCCCGAGTGGGATTTTGCAGAAGCACCGACCACAGCATATACCACAAAGTGAAGAAACGAACAATGACAATTCCAAAACAGCATTTTAAGAGGTCCATTTCACAGAAACCAAAGTAATTTTACAGCTCAAACTCATAAGTTGACATTCTTCAAGCCACAGGCAAGAGAGAATGGCCACTGTGTGTTGTGTGTACACAACCTGTTGACAAAATGTGGTTTAGAGAGCATCTGACATTATAAAGCAAGTTAGAACCAAAGATAAGGGATATTTGAGGAACACACGTGGGTACAGAGGTCAGGGTACAAACAAACAGGGGAAATACATGCATAGAAAGGGAAATAAAAACAGGGGTGAAGAACAGATTGCTACAGGGTTAAAGGGGAGGCATGCAAGTGAGAACAGAAACAACATTGATATAATTCTCAGCATATCCCCGTTTAACTTACTAGTCCCTTGGAACTTAACGGTGCGTCGATTCAAGTAAATTATTATGCTCATGACATATACATTGAATTGTGTTTCTGTGTGTATGTTGAGGCTAATGGAGTTAACAAAACTGTACAATCAAGACAAACAAAATTAGAACCAATAACCATTAAGTCAGTTTTAAAAAATTGAAGAACATCGTCACCCTGATTTGTGACAATTTACTGAAACTACCGGGGGGGGGAGGGGGGTGAATGAAAACTTGCCTACTGATCACAATAATCACTTGCTTTTATAATCGAAATCTAATATCAAGAAACGAGCCCAGTACTCTATAAAAAAAAACCACATTCCAATCGATCCAACTGTGCCTTCCACACAACATTTGAAAGCGACAGAGGAATCAGGCTGGAGGGTAGAGAGTGGGGAGCACACACATGGGCACGCACACCTTACGTGTTGTGGGTGTAGTGGCCTCTTTGAATGGGTGGGAGGCCTTTTGAGAAAGAAAAAACCTCAACACCAACGAATCGCCAAAGGCAACAAGACTTTTAAGTTCATGCATTTGGCAAAGGATAAAAACTGTATTTACAGAGAGTTTTGGATAAGGAACTGTAACGCACACAATGTAAAAAAAGCACAATTCTGTTTAATTTGGCAAGATTTAAAAAGAGAGATTTGGCATTGCCAATTGGTGTAAGCCCTGCCAGACATTCATGGTTTGTGTCAATACAATCACGCTCAAAGAAGCTTTAATCTGAACGCTGTTCTATTTGAGTTACAAAAGACAGGTACCAATAGTATTGATGAAACGTTAACATTCATCTATTGAAATCGTTTACTTCCCAGTGAAATAAAATGGACGATTATGACACGGAACTGATAAAAGTATATCATTGATTGGAGTAATATCGTATGGTGTAAAACATAAACATATGTATCTGCACTTTGCATAGTCATGAGGAACTACTGTGGGTGAGACAATAAAAAAAATCCTGTTTTTAGATTAAATTTAATTAATGCTAGGGTAGCAACTATTCAAATATTCCACTTTTTTATTGATCAGAAAGGAAAATAATCATATGCCACGGGCAAAGGAGGCCTTCTCCCAGTTGTATTCTCACTCTAACACTTTGTACAAAGACAACAATGTTCCGTAGCCTTCAACACACTGTTGGGGCAGGTGCTGTTTGAGAGCACATAATAAGGCCAACACAGTGCATGATGTGTGCGGGGTGGGTGACTAGCACCAGATACATGTACAAACGGCAGCTTGGCGTTGTTATGTTAACCGTTTATAATTCTTAGAAATGTGCACCCCCCCCCCATCCAATGATTAATCTCTTTACCGAGAAGGCGTTCACCTCATCATGGCAGCAAGCGCCAGGGGCTGCTGACATTATCAGCTGTTACAAAACCAGAGGATCATAAACCTGTCTTTCTCTGCTCTGTTTACTTTGAAGTGGGCAATAGGTGTGGATAATGGGAATGCCATAAAGGACATTATTATAGATTGCTTTTGGCTAAGAATGCTATTGGGCTTCTGGGCAGTGCAGTGTTGTTAACTGACCGAGTTCGAAATAGCCTGGCCATTCGCGTCCTACCTAATGCCTAGCAGCAATGAGTGAGTGGCAATTTTTTTGTCAAATAACCTGTGCGTCTTAAGTGTATCAAGAATACACCGCCGTGTACTTTTTACAATAGAACCACTGTCTGTACTATTTTATGAAAGTATAATCCACACATTCAGACCGTAACAATACAGTAATATATATAGCTTACTCAAAAGCTTAATAACAAACACGAGGTGTCATGTACCAGAAAGTTTTTTCATGTTACAATTTACACTCGTTAAAATGGTTTTGTGGGCAAGCATCCCAATACAGGAAGTTTCTGAAAAGAGTTCAGATATTTTCTTTCCTAGAACATACATTACGATAATGTGAATACTGTATTACCACATATTATTAAATGTACTTGGTTATATATTCCCGTACTATTACTCGCCAAATTGGCACTGCTCAGCGTGACGTATAGGCCACACTATGCCCATAGCCAAATAGGTGTGGGGATACTTTCATCATAGAGATCTGTAAATTAATAACCATCAGCAGCCATCATCTATCCACTGCTGGATGAAGGCTTCCCCAAGTTGTCACCATCCCTTAAATATGTACGTTAAACTTCTTTCGCACCGTACGTAGCCAACCGTGCTAATCGGAGGTGCGCGGGGGGTGAAAGGACACCAAACTAAACACAAAAAGCAGTTTTAAATGAGTTTTAAATGTAGAGGTTACTTTGGCGACGTGTCCTGCCGAAGCACACTTAACTCTTAACAGTCGGAATTAAATCTCTAAGCATTCGCACCTTCTCCGATCCTCTGTCTCTTGGGGTCATTCCCGGCATACATATTCGCTGTGCTTAGTTGCGTGCTCGTCAGCTGTTCCATCTTGTCAGTGTCCATGTTCCCCCCAATGTGTTAAATGTGAGTAATGTTACGGCGATATTAACATTACCCTATTACCGTATCTACACTTACTGTGACACTAACGAAGAATTGCAATATTGGTATTAATATTGCTCTATTTCCCACAGGGCGCGGGGGAGGCCTTCATCCAGCAGTTTATCGACAAAGGGCTGTAATTTATCATTAATGTATCATATTAATACAATTACTGTTATACATTATCATGGCAATAGTACAACAGCAAGTGATGCATCACACCGAAAATTTAAATGTACCCTCGAGTTCTCATAACATGCATATCATATTTTTTCTTTCTACTGCTACATGAGGGGCTCCCCACACAGTGCAGAACGTGGGGGGGGGGGGGGGGGGGGTTACTCGACCATACTTCACCACGCCGGTCTGTGCGAGTTGATACAAGTCTCAAACATGGATATGACACATTCTAGAAGAGTTGGCCTTCGGCTGTTACTGTTGAAGTTAAATTAATTTTGCAAATAAAATATACGGATACAACTATTGCTAATTGCAAGTAAATGATGAAGAGATGATATGTATATATAACTGGGAGAAATCCGATGAGCTATAAAGCTCTTTTTCACAGACATCCAATAGGGGCGAGTCAGAACGTTACGACAAACAAAACAACAAATACGATAGGAGTGCACGGTAATGGAAAGATAAACAAATAACTTAAATATACAAAAAAACTACATTTAAAAAATATATATGATCGGGTAAAGCCAACCGAGAGCTATTAGCTTCTTTTTCAGAAGCAACCTTTCCGTAAACGATTAGCTCAACGATTGAAACATAATACAATTTACAGTCACAATCAGTAATACAGGTTTAGCGATATTTTGGGCGAGTTTAGTAGGTGTAAGTCTCCGACACAAGTACTGTGGTCACAAATTGGCCACGTCCTGTTTACGTGACAAACCTTACTACTACTACTGAGGCTCTGTCGGGTGGTGGAGGGTTTAACGACACATTTATATGTACGCGCCCTCACCCAAACCGCCCCCCCCCCCCCCACCACCCTGTATTATGGATATTGGTCGTGAAAGCCCTACACTACGTGTTAAACTAACTAAACTAACACGTAGTGTATAACTGTATACAGTATGTCGCGGGCGCTTTAACACTGAAAATTGGAAATCCAAAGTAACATTCGCGTCTTTTTAAACCGTAGCGCGGATAGGCGACTCGGCCACCTGAGCGCCCTCGCGTGATTGGCCACCGCGGCAGCCCCTGGCCACACCCCCTCTCGTCGGCAACCAATCGCCTCTCGCGGACGGTCGCCGGTGGGGGGGGGGCGCGTTCCGGGCTACGAATTACAAAACGCCGACGCTATAACGCGAGAACAAAGGGGGGCTCCGTGCCCCCCGCGGTCGCCTGCTCCTTCAGCTCCTCTCTTCCCCGGGGTTTGTATCCCGTCGGGCGAGGCGAGGGGCGACGTGGCTCCGTCAAAGAGGCGCGGCCGCCCTTTTGCCTCCCTAGCACCGCGGGCGATGTTCTCTCACAACACTGGACGGACACATTTTTAATGCGTCGAGTCACAAAGCCGAGACACCCCCCTCCTCCCCTCCCCCCTCCCCGAGAGCCCATGAGAACGTGGTCGTTATTCCTAATCGAACTCTGCTCACCGATGCGCCACCGCTCCCGAACAACAACAAACACCCAAACAACACCCGCCGTCCGTCCAGGCAGGCAGGCGACGACGTACCCAACACGACGGGGACGCCTCCGTGACTCGGCCCGTACCGCTGCTGCTGCCGCCTCTGCTGCTGCTGGGATTGCAGGGGCGTCGCGAAGGCGAGCAGGGCCACGAGGAGCGGCGTCAGTGGGGACGCCAAGGCCATCATCCTCGACGCGAGAGACAAACGACGAAAAGAGGAAGGGGGGGTTGGTGGAGCGCGAGAGAGTCGCTCCCCCCGCTCGCGAGCGTGAAACTTTCAGTCGTACTCAAAGCGACAAGAGAAATCCCACAACCACCACAACAAGCGCGCGCCTCCGCTATTTATCAACTTCTCCGCCGACGTCAGAGTTGCATTCCGTAGTCCGTATTAGGGCGGTGCCGGCAAAAATTTGTTGCCGCGCGATCCGATTGGATCAAGAGAGCTTCTCGACGGCGCTGGCTCGCGATCCGATTGGTCCAGAGAGCTTTTCGGCGGCGCTGGCTCGCGATCCGATTGGTCCAATCGCAACGCCTCCGCCCCTCGCGCGTCGCCGCCCACCCCACCCCGGCTGCTCATGCGCGCTATGAAATATGGAAGCGGTGGGAGTTCACGTGACCGCGTGTGGGCGTGGCGTTACGTAAGCATGGAGCACGTGGCTGTTTTTTTAACTCCAGAATCATAAGCAACTTGGTGTGAACAAAGGTCGTGGTCCGAAACGTCGCCTATTTATTTATTTAAAAGCTACAGTGATGTTGACGAATGTGCTGAGGTTTTATTTGTACTCATACCAAGTTGCTTATTTGTGCTTGTGTGGCCACTGCCAACGAACGGCGCATCTCCAAATAATGTTCAATTGTAAACAGAATCAGAATATTTATTTTATACTGGAGGAATCCTATGAGCGATAAGCTCTTTTTTCACAGATGTTCAGTAGGGACACGGGGTCATAACGTCACAACAACAAATACTACAAAAAACACGATAGGAGTGCAAAGTATAAAGTATATAAAGGTAAACAAAATGATTAAAATAAAACTAAACCACTTGTATCTTACTAGAAAACACGTGCGTTGTATGACCGTTGTTGCCATCGTTGATTTAAGTGCCTGATTAGCAATACTGCACATGGTTTCAATATATCAAACACATGTTCAACATTCAGACATTTAAGCAAACATACTAATCCACAAATATTCCAAATACGTCCACGTGTGGGCAATGTGGATATTAATATATTAAAAAAAAACATTCCTCTACACTGACTTAAAAAAAACAATAGGCGACGTTTCGGGCAATGGCCCTTCGTGAATATAGTGTATATGTTAAGGCGAACGTGTTTCGGTGTTTTTTTTTGGCTGTGCCACACTGCCAACACGGTATCGCCAACCGATATGTACACGTGCAGCCCTTTTCTCAATCCACTGCTGGATGAGGGCCTCCCCATCCATGTCGTGTCGGCCGCCGTGGTGGGGTTATTGAGCGACACTTCATCCGGGTGAAGACGAACAGGACATAGGTGGAATCATAGTACAGTACAATTTCTTTTTTTCCGGCCTACCCTCTACTCCCCACCACTTGGCATATAAGCCGAATTGAGACAATATGCCTGACATGACCGTATTCTCTCGACTATTAAATGCCCCGGCAAGTTAGAAGCATCCCAAACTTGTGGAAAGTGTCAATAAAGTCATACACATCTTGTTATACGCACAGACACTAAGGGGCCGTCCATAAATGACGTCACGCAATTTTGGACGATTTTTTGACCCCCCCCCCCTTCGTCACACGGTGTCACAAAAAGTCAGACCCCCCCTCAAATATGACGTCACAAAGCTCTACCCCCCCCCCCCCCACAAAATAAAACATGCTTCAAATCGCTTTAAACTAGTGTCATTGCCGTGCGTATTTAATGTGGCGCTGCACTCTGATGTTGTAGGAGAAAAAAACATATTAAAAAGTCTATTTAATTAAGTATAACGTATTCTTGGTTCTTTCGGTAAAGTCACGTAGAAGGGAAACAAAACAATAAAACAAATATATAAAACAATAAAATTCTCACGACGTTTCGACTGCAACCCAAGCAATCATCATCAGGTGTGCAAACCACAGCAAGAAAATTTGAAAAAAGTGGCGGTTCTTTTTAACGTTATCACCACGGAGAGCGATTTGGCAGTTATTCAGATGGACGAGCCCATCTATGTTCGGAAAAGAGGAGGGGGGAGACGAAAATAATGGATGTGGTCTGAAAGCCACCGTAAGCGTGAACAATCAATTAAGACCCGAAATGGTTTATCAAATCCTTCCAATGATTGCTAAGCCAGAATCCATCTTCTCGGTTGAAATTGTCTCTGTGTTTGTATATGTGGATAGCCTCATGAACGAATCTCTCATGGTAGCCAGATGGCTTTTTTATTGTTTCCCTTCTACGTGACTTTACCGAAAGAACCAAGAATATGAATCCCTGCAGTCACGAAAGCTTTAAATCAAATTTAAGTAGAACGTGTTGTCTATATTTATTTAAAGTTGCGCATTTTGATGATACGTCACATATCTCAAACCCCCCCCCCCCCCCCCATCGTCACAAATGTCTGACCCCCCCCCAGGTGCGTGACGTCATTTATGGACGGCCCCTAACGTATTATAGGATGCACTCTCAACTTTTGTCTTAAAATACTGTACACGGAAAAAGGTGGTCTTATAACCTGGATAATACGGAAAAATGAGACCTGCAGTTCTGAGAGTGATGGGAATTCCACGTTCCAATGCCCGGGAGAAGTATATCAACACGGCAAGACACGTGCTGATATCCCACAAATTACTACTTTTATCTACCCCTCTCGGGAAGATGTGCTGACCGTCTTGGGTCGCCCATCAAGGTTCACTGTACAGTAATTGAAGGCTTTAAATCACAAATGGCATTGATCTATCCACTGCTGAATGGACACCTCCCCAGCTTGGCGATAGTAAGATCCATCCGGCGCCTGTATCGAGCTGATCCCATCGCTCCATCTCCGTGGAAGACGAACTCTCGGCTGTGTTTTCTCCTTTGGCTGCCACTCCATGATTAGTATCGACCATCTGTTATCATCCCTTCCAGCGACGTGCCCTGCCCGGCATGTTTTTAAACATGACAAGAAAACGTTGCTATTTAATATTCTTATTTGTGCGTAAATAAAAAAAATCTAAGTGTTACATGCTTTTTTCCACGTAAGGATATGTGGTTTTCTGCGCACTTAGGTCCTGGCTTTGGTTATTAAAGGTCATTTGTCTTGTACACGACCCAACGTTCTCGGAATGTAGAATTTCCACAGCTAACTTTGTGTTTTTGCCGAAAGAGATGGGCACTGCCCATCGTGTGTTTAAATACGGAGACTGCTTGACGTGTCAGCGCATAAATTGCTTACACCAGAGGTTGCAAAAGTTTAGTGGTACCAATATTTGTCTTAAATAGTCCAAGACAATACTGCAATGAGAACCTTCTAATTTGATCTTCATTGAAGCATCGATGTCAAAACGAAGTAAAAAAATCTCAATATTGTCCCGTCTATGGTAAGATAATCTAATATTTTCAGTAAAAGCTTGGATTGCGAGCATAATTCGTTCCGGAAACGTGTTTGTAATCCAAAGCACTCGTATATCAAAGCACTCGTAAATCAGTTGTGGTCACGTGAGGCTCGGCAGACAAAGCGTATACGTACACTACTCGTATTGCAAGACCTCGCTCGTTTATCAAATTAATATCAATTTAAACATTTTGCCCGTCTTGCAAAACACTCGCAGACCAAGTTACTCGCAATCCAAGGTTTTACTGTATAACCCTTTGTCAAGACCGCTGCATTGAAGGCCTCCCCACTCACCGTGTCGTCCATGGAGATTGGTTTACCATACTTCACCACGCCGACCTGTGCGGGTTAGTGAATAGGAGGTCCCAGGACCTGTTCACATATCACCTGTTCGTGACGTTAGTTGTGGCATGGAATCGAACCCAGGTATTCGGGCTGCATGGTTATCGGTCTCAAAAAACCTCACTGGCCAGATGTCTTCGGATACTTTGAGTTCATCAATGTTTTAAGATCTGATCTACAGTACGTGGATTCTTATACTTTATTAATTGGCACACGTTTCGGTTTTATGCATAAATTATATTCGTAAAGTTGTATTTCTCTTTGTCAATATTTTATTTCACAGCAGCAATAGCTTGTTTTTTATTGTTTTGAGGATACATTTTAATTCTAAAACACCGTAGAATCCAACGTAAAGTAGTTTGGTTGATTAACGTGCGTACGTTCATTGTGTACTTTGTGTCGATTGCAGTGATCGGCAAACCAAAACACATTATTACATCACGAAGCCGCGTGGCTGCCGGCCCCTGGTCTATTGTCTCCAAGTAAAACAAAAAAAGCCCCGCATTGACCAGCATGGTGAAGTATGGTCAGAGAGCCCAGATGGCCGACACAAGCGTGGGGAGATCCTGATCGAGCGGTGGATTGTACGTGTGTACATTTTTTTAGTGCAGCCCTGAAAGTATTTTTTAACGCAGCTGCTGGTGGAAAAGGCTCCACTCGAAGGAGCTCTCGAGGGCATTCTGCCGACTCGTCCACACTGGCCAGACGTCTTGGAAGAGGTGGGAGATCACCCACAGTTTGCCCCACCGTTCACGCCCTTCCTTTGCGACACGAAGCTACGTAGACAGCTGGTGGCGGTGGCATGAATAAACTCGCAGCATTGTTTCAACGACCAAGCGGGGAGATAGGGATCGAACCAGCCAACCTCTGGGTTGCAAGTTGAATGTGCTTGTTAACCATTCACAATAGAGGTTTTTGGGTTAGATCGCGTAAGTGTAAATGTGTCGTAACCCCCACCACCCGACACAGCCAGTAAGGTGTGTCACGTAAACAAAACGTGCCAATTAGTTACTACTTCAGCCCACCGGTGTGTTGGAGAGTAAATCCTCAACATTTAATTGGCACGTTTTGTTTACGTGACAAACCTTGCTGTCCGTGTCGGGTGGTGAAGGGTTACGACACATTTTATACTAGCGCGATCTAACCCAAACATCTTAATTTATGAATAATATTGGTCGCGATAGCCGACGTGTTAAACTGGTTAACCATTACACCGGGGTGAGAATCCCAGCATTGTGTGTAAACTTTATGCTTCATGGGTGTTACTCATTTACATCGGATGGTTTTTTTTGTTTCTGCGAAGAGCGCATCAAAAGAGCAACAACAACGTCCATTTGATTAGCGCCAGGCCACAGTGAGCTCATCCACGGTGTCTGTTACAAATTACATTTCATTATGAACGCGTCACGGGACTCACTGCGCAGTTGACTCGCGTGTTGTTGTTGCTGGGCATATGAGCACTGGGGGGGTCCC